ATAAAAAGCAACCGTTCTTCTATCAATATTTTCGAAGTCTATAAGTAAGTACCTACTATTTTATCAGGTATCTACCTGATGAATGTATTTGAATGTGAAACGGAAAAAATCCATTGTTCCACATTGCAAAAAAGCTTGAAATATGTCAAATTCAGATTCTGAAAACCTGATGCGTGAAAGTTTTGTTTCTTTATTCAACAACCTCAGGGTGATGATTGTAACCCCTAAATTTTTCATTGAAATGTTGGGGTTCATTATTCACCATTTGAAGACTCCATATTGACCCCCAAAGTCAGGTTGACCTTGATGGTTGATGTTTGACTAATGTGAGGTACTTTGATGTGTCATTGAATGAAGAAATTTCTAGAGATTTCCTCCGAATTTATTGGGGGATGTTCCTTCTGATACTAAACAAAGGTTATATCTCCAATATGATGACGCACCTTCTCACAAGCAAAATCGGGGTATTAGTTTCTCTTTCTGAGTAGATGGCGTAGAAATAAATGAAGAGTATGAAAGGGAGCTATACAGTGGCCAGCAAGATACCCAGACCTCACGCCCCTAGATTTTTATCTATGAGTATATATTGAAGGAGAGGTATATTGTGAGAAACTGATGCTATCAGAATACATGCAGAATAAAATGAAGTTTTTTTCACTATGGGATTAACGTCAGTTCAAGTTCGCAGAGAAATGAACTTGGGTTTTGTTTACTCCTGTACAGAAATAGAGTCATATGGTGATATTACGATTAGGAAAAATATTCTAAGAAATATTTGGTTGTGAAATTTCCTTATTCAATTTGAAGTAGAAGTGTTGAAAGAACTAATTTTGAGACAAATCTCATCAAAACTATGAATCACCCGGTATATGGTACAATCCCAAACAACCATATATTTTTGAAGAAACTCTTCCTGAAGAAATCTATTGAAGGATAATATATTTGAGGACGAAAAACAACTAAGTCACATGTTTATTGGACACCCCCTTTGTTGATAGTTATTTTTGTAATACTTCTCTCCCGCAACTTTTATTTGGGGAAGAAAAGCGTTATTTTTTTACTTTAAGAATACTTTAAAGATGAATTTTGTGTATGATTCAGTAATTCTTGTTTTCAAGATTGATGGCGCATACCGGAAGCTACGAACTTGGAAAGTATACACAAAAAAACATGAAGATATGCTCCCTCTTAGCCTGCGAAACATCTGATTCTTCTACTTGTGGAACGACAATTGTCACAATGGACTCAAAATTCCGGAGTATTTCCATCAAGATTGACTCTGAAGAAGTTACTTCGTCATTCTACCAGCCAGTAACTTTGTCAAGTGGTTTGATACCAGTTTTCAATACTACTTACCAGGAGAGTGTTGTGAATGGCAGCAGATCTATTCTTTTTACGACGAATAAACCCCAGGAAAAAGTCTCAGTATTCGGGATTTATGGCGTTAGCGGCAACACTGTAAATACTAGCCTAACAATTCTGATAGTGTTAATGGCAACGATGTGTTTGGTTTGAAAGTTTCTCTTGTAGGAACTTGAAAATGTTCGTGGAAGACTTCGAATGGAATATTTTCAGAATAATGTAGACTATAAGTATAAATAATTTATTTTTATTTATCATCTGAACAAAACACAATGAACATATATCAATACATCTTTATATAAAATTTACAATATTGGAAAACAGCAAATATACAAGAAAACCAAATTGTTCATAGAAGTAGACCTAATAGATTATTTTTTATTTACAAATTTATGCTAAACATTACTCTAGGATTTTTTGCCAACGATTCGACTGTTTTACACAAAGAAATCGATAATTCGTTAAATCGTAGGCCTACAGAAGGAAAAAACAAGTGTCTTTGGCAAAAAATCGGTTTCCTATACCTTAATGGCTTTTTCTTACCAATTCATCAAAAATTTACAGAGTTTGTACAGTAGTCAAGCACTTTACAAGAGTTCGGAGTGGTTTTCGAAAAATCAGTCAGGAAAGTTTGACGATATTGTAGGGGGTTTGCAAACATACAAATTCAGAGTAAGACCTTGAAAATCTCAGTAATTATAGGTTGTCGACGCTTATTACCAACTGTCAGTATACCACATCTGTTTGATGACTACACACAACTAACAAACAATTAAAAAAGGTAATTCATTGATGACCAAATGTCAGTCGGGCCGATTCACAATATTGCAGTAGTCCCAGAAATGTGGAGTTCGGGTTGCAATATCACACTGATTCAATTGTGAAAGCTACACACATGTTCCATATTGTGTAAGTTATTTGTTCTAGACTGATCGTCCCGTTCAAACAGACTCAGATGCCTATACACTGGTGTAGCGACTCATACTTGTGGAATTTTCACGTGAGTCTGTCGACCAATATAGCTCACTCGATAGCTTTTCCAATATGAAATTATAAACCATCAATATCGCTGATCATCTTATAGTACATTGTCGAGTAGTGATGAAGTGAACAGAAAGGTAGATCGTAGATGTGAAAGGTGATGACACTGATGTGCAACATTATTTTAGGTTATGCATGTATATGTATCAATGTTCAACCCAATTCCTTCGATTTTTTTGTGGATATATAAGGGTCTCGAATTATTAATGGTGTTTGTCTTCTAGTTAATGCTCGTCAGTTTGTAAATGAACAAAATTTATTTTCATGTGAATACTCAAACACCTACACAAAAAATTTCTCCACATTTCACACAGCGCTCAATGAACTATACAAATAGTGGAGAACAGAACAACATAACGAATATACTAGTTACTAGCAAAGGAAATTTTCTAGATTCGACACAATCCAAATACGGCAACGGACGTCAACACAACTCATGGTTTTTTTGCGATAACCTCACTTATTTGTTTTGAAGAAAATTGTGTATCGCTAACACAATTCATCAAGGATCAATTATTGACTGAAATAAATAGAAATATTGTTTATTGGCAACATCTTTTGGCAACGCCAGAACTATTAGAGTTGTTCTACAACAATTTCTGCTCCTCCTAGCAATTGCCAGTGTATAGACATCTCATTCCGGACAAATATTGCAGATCTGTCTACGTGATTATATATATATCACCTTCTTCAAATACTTGTTAGGGCTCTTTCACACGGGGAGCTTCGCATCTCTCGCTCCTACGCAGGAGTGTTTATTTCTCCTACTCACGGCCTATGAGGTTGGGTTAGGTTAGGTTCACTCAGATAAAATATGTTTGACACTTATGGCACAGTCACAAACTTCATATATTGGATTATGTGAGGTTAGGTCTAAAGTGAGTGGGCCTATTCGATCTCCACCGCAACTCGCAAGGGTTCATTATGGCTCTAAAAACTTTCTAAAAACCTGATCTGCTTCCCAGCGGGCCAGACATAAAGTATGTGCACTGCTGTTCCATCATTTTCCAAATACAGGCGACACACACTGTCTTCCGACAGTCCGAGTCTCTGCATATGATTCAAATGACAGTGGCCTGTGAGAAGGACTGTTAGATATCGTAGTTCATCCCTATTGTAGTCCAATAACTAGTTGGTATCAAGCTTCGAAGGGTGAATAAACACCTTGGAGTGAGTCAGTCCTGGAAGATTCTGCCAGAAGTCCATAAATCTCCTTGCCATCCAGGTCTTCAATCTTTGTTTGGCAACGCCTAAAGCAATGCCAATGACAGGTACTAGTTCTCGAGGTCAGTCGTAGAATGGAGCCACAAACCTCGAAGACAGAAACGTCAACGATCAAGAATGGGATGGATGAAGTTGCGAAATCCACTTTGAGAACCTTTCAGACTTCTATCAAACTTTTAACGACTTCATTTCGATCGAAACTTTCATCCCAAAGAGCGGGTTGGTTGCAGCTCCACAACGTAATCTGCCATGATAAATAGGCGTCAAGTAGGAAGAGCTCCTCGTGTGGAAGCCCTCACTCATCTTCTTGAGGAGGAGACGTGGCTTCCCGGCTCGAGGTGCTGGAGACGTGAAAGATTTCGTCTCTTTAGACGTGGCAACTCCAGCTCCTCGTCTGGAAGCTCCATTGGACTCGTTGCAGTTTGACGCTAATAGCCTTCCTGTCTCTCTCGGGAGCAAGAGACGTGAAGCTCTCCATGTGGAAGGGCGCTCAGACTGCAATCACTTCCACTTGAGGAATTTATGTGACATGTGTGATCTGGAGAAGGACTTCATACGATGAATATATTTTTGAAACTGTGCTTATTTTATCATTGACACCAGTAAAAATGATTGAAAACAGCAGTGAGTGATGATACTAACCAGCATTTTCGAATGAGGTTATAATTTGATCAAACACTGATTGAGTGGATCCGATGGACCTACCTGGTTTCGAATTTTTACCGAATTGCTCATAATTATCAATGCCTTCGCCGATATTTTCAGTGTCAGTATTTCTCAGAGGACGGTGGATTTTTTGGAATTTTTTCCTGACATTTCACTGGCACGAGTGGCTAGCTTTCTCAGGGGTTTATACATCCTGAGTTGATATCTCCGATGACTGGATATTACGGCTGCGTTATGCGTATTTATGTTGTCTCCTCAGGTAGCTTGGTGTGCTAATACCTATACCTGTTGTGTTTATGTTGATTCAGGTAGTCTAGTGTAATAATACCTGTACCCGAATCAGGTAAATTGTCAATAATATTCATTGATCCTTTTCTACGTGACATCATGGTGTTTGCTATTCTTGAATTTCATAGAGTGGGATTCTATATCCGATTAAGGTTCACAGCTTCTTTTTTCTGTTGAAATTATTAGTGCGTTTGTGGGTTTATATTGCTTCTTGTACCATTCGGCTATGGCATCCCTGGTCGGGAACACTGCGTTTAGTGTTTTGAAACAGAATCGTGTGGTTTCCTACACTGGTGTTCTATCATAGCCGACTTATCAATTTGGCCTAGTCTGTAGTTTCTTTCATGCTCCTTCAGCCTTGTTCCCATGCATCTTTTGGTAGTTCCGATATATAGGGTGTAACTAAATAACTGACGATTTGTCCTACCAAAAAGACACTTAGCCAGAAATTTATTTGGTTTACCACATGGTTGTAAGGGGTGGAAAACGCAACCCCTAAAATTCATTTCCAATGTAACTTTTTGTCTTATTAATTTGTTTACCATTCAAAAATGTATTTCCGATAGCCTGTTTCATTCTAAACAAAAAATGTCTCTTGGGTTTTTTGCCCAAAATGAACCAGTTCGCAGCAAAAAATTATTTTACGAACAACTACAGAGATACATCGTCATAAATGCGAAAATACGAAACTAATCTATCTAGTAGGTCGCTATTAGCGATAGTGACAATTAAATTGGTATGACGCTGTCAGTTTGTGAATTTTCGAAACTGAATCAACACTAATTGTGTGTTGTTGTTCTGTTCTTAATTTATTACTTTGATAATTCAATTGTTATTAAAATGGCATACACAAATGAGGAAATGGCTGATATGCATTACGTTTACGGTCTGTCTGTCACAGGGAAATTGGTTAGAAACTTCTAGGAGATATGCTGAAATGTATCCTCAACGGCAGCATCCTTCACATAGAATATTTGCTCGACTTCATCAACGATTACGAGAATATGGTTCATTCAACAAAAGAACGCAGGATTTTGGTCGCCATCGAGAAGTACGAACACCACAGTTTGAGGAAGCAGTACTCAATTTGATTCAAGAACAAACTACTACCGGTACTAGAAAGATTGCTTTCCAGCTAAATGTTGATCATATGACGGTATTTCGAATTTTAAAGGAACAACTCTTATACCCTTACCATCTGCGAGTACAGGCACTGTTACCGCGAGACTTTCCGAACCGTCTTGAATTTTGCAATTGGATGCTGGAAATGATTAGAAAAAATTGTGACTTTCTGAAGCTGATAGAATTCACAGACGAATATAGTTTTTCTCGGGACAAGATTATTGATTTTCATAATTACCACATATGGGCTGATGAAAACCCTCACGCTATTGTCGAAAGTAAATATCAAGAACAGTTTTCTCTTAATGTGTGGCTCGGAGTTATTGGGGATGATTGAATTGGGCCTCATTTTCTACCTCCTCGATTAAATGGTGAGGCATAGTTCAATTTTTAAGAGAAGTGCATCCAGTACTGCTGGAGGAAGTTCCTTTGGGCGTCAGAAGGGATATGTTTTTTATGCATGATGGGGCTCCCGCCCATTTTAGTCAAGTAGCACCTCAGCATTTAACTGAAACATATGCAAATCAGTGGATAGGTCGAGGAGGACCACAGAACTGGCCCGCTTGATCCCCGGATCTCAATTCTCTCGATTTATCTATTTGGGGTCATTTACAACATTTGGTTCATCGTATTCCTGTTCGCGATGGAGATGACTTAAGGAACCGCATCATCAATGCGTGCAGGTTAATCAGAGAGACTCCAGCTCAATGCGCCGACGTCTAGACGCATGCGTAATGTCTGAAGGTAGACATATTGAACATTTACTATGATTTCTACATGTAGTGTGTTTTGTTATTGATTAATTAGTTTTGTTTATTACCCTTTAATCGTTCAATGCAGGTTCTAACTACAAAATAACAATGAATCCAGGTCGCATTTATGACGATGTGTCTCTGTAGTTGTTCGTAAAATAATTTTTTGCTGCGAAATAGTTTATTTTGGGCAATAAACCCATGAGACATTTTTTGTTTAGAATAAAACAGGCTATCGGAAATAAATTTTAAAATAGTAAACAAATGATAAGACAAAAAGTTACATTGGAA